GGTGGGGCTGGTGTTGGTAGGCTCTGCCACCCCAAGCCCCCCAGGACTAGCAGCCCGGCGTGGGGGAGGCAGAGCCAGCCGGATTGACAGCTCCGGGGGATGGACAGATGGCTGGATGGAGAGGCAGATGTGTACGAGGGATGGATGGACGGATAGATGGATGGATGGATGGAGAGATTGATGGATATGTTGGAGAGGGGGACACGCGGATAGACAGACAGATGGAGAGAAGATGCTCTCGCCCAGAGCACGCCTGGAGTGCTGAGCTGTGGCACCACTCCTCTCCCCCAAGGCTCATCCCAGGATCCTGCCGGGCAGCGGGATGGCCGTGGGGTTTCCGATGATCCCTCACATCCACAGGAGCACGTGGGCAGGTGGCACCGCCAGACCCAGCTGGCCCAGCCCTCCAGCTCTTCCACGTGACACGCCAAGCCTGGCTCACAGCATTCCCAAAATGCCCACTGGGTTGTTACCAGGGATGGCAGCAAAGCCTCATCCCCCTCCTCGCCCATCCCTTCTCCCTCTCCCTGTGCCAAGGGCTTGGATTCCACGTTCCTGCTGTGCCCATCGGGGTTCTGCCCTGCTTCCCCCTGCCCCGTGCCCGGGATCCTGCACAGGAGCCAAAGCTGCAAATTCACAGCTTTTCAGCTGCATCCTAAAAATAAGAGGTTTGGGAAATATCGAGCAAATGAGTGGGAGGATGAGAAGAGGAGGAATTAATGGCCTGGCGCCAGGCAGGCAGCATCTGGGAAGCCCCGGCGTGACAACGTGGTCACCTCGCTCGGAGCCGTGCGGCCCTCCGGCCCGGCAGCACGAGGGGCTGCTCCGATGCCACATTCCTGCCCTATCCCTTTCCATCCCATAGCTCCACCCCGGCACCACCGTGCCCATCCAGGCTCGGCGTCACATCCCGCTCTGGCTCCAGAGCTCACAATGATGGCGCATGGTGGAATGCTGGGGGGGGGATGCGCTGCTCGCTTGGCACCTTCTCCCGCTGCCCTTTTCCCGGGAATGCACGCGTTTCCGCTGCCGGTTTTGGTGGCTTGGCACATGGAGCCGTTTCTCCATGTGGAGCTGTGGATGTCGGCTTTGATCACCATTTCCAGGGAGCTCAGTGGGAGCCTGGCCTGGGGGGGCTCCCCACAGCTTTGATTTTCCCCCCCAGGGTACTTGGCATCCATGGATCTCGCCGCTGGAACAGGGTGAGTGGGAGGATGCTCCAGGAGATAGGACTGAGATACTGAGCCGCTGCCAGGGAGACGCAGTGTCCACAAAACCTGGGAATTTTAGGGTCTGGATTAAAAAATAGGGCCCTGAGAGCCTGGACAGGGCCATCCTCACTGGGACACCTGCAGAGAGGTCGGTTCCAACCATGGTGCCACAAATGTGAGGCTTGTTCCAAAGCCTTTGCTCATCCAAAGCCTCTGGCACTCCATGGAGATTCCAGCCTCTCCATCCTGTGCAGGAGCTACCGTTTGGGAGAGCTGGAGCCATCCCTGGATGCCCTTTGCAGGGGCTTTGCCTTCCCAGCATTGCTCCAGGGCCATGGGTGTTGGCTGGAGCTGATGGTTGAGCTGTGGGATGGGACTGAATCCTGGGATAGTCACAGGGAAACAGGGAATTGGGAGGAAAATGGGTGGAGCTGCCCATGAGCCTGAAGGTCTCGAGCCGGGCTCGAGCGATGCCTGTCCTGGAGCTGAGTGTGCACAGGGCCACCAGCACCACAAAGCCACCAAGGTGTCCAAGGCTGCTGGGATGCACAGGGACACCGGGATACACAGGGACACCAAGGTGCCAGGGCCACCAGGATGCACAGGACCACTGGGATCCACAGGATCACTGGGATGTCCAGGATCACTGGGATGCACAGGATCACTGGGATGTCCAGGATCACTGGGATGCACAGGATCACTGGGATGTCCAGGATCACTGGGATGCACAGGATCACTGGGATGCACAGGATCACTGGGATGTCCAGGATCACTGGGATGTCCAGGATCACTGGGATGCACAGGATCACTGGGATGTCCAGGATCACTGGGATGCACAAGATCACTGGGATGTCCAGGTCCACCAGGAAGCACAGGAATGCTGGGATGTGCAGGCTCACTAGGATGCCCAAGACCATCAAGATGCACCGGCTCACCAGGATGCCCAGGGCCACCAGGATGCCCAGGGACTCTTCTGGGTGGCCCTGGAATGGGCTGTGCCATGGTTCCCACCTCCATCACTCCTGCACACGCCGGAGCTGAGCCGTGGGTCAGATCTGTCAGCACCGGCAGCTCCTCCCTGCTTTGGGCGCATCTTGCCGGATCTCCGGCTCCCACGCTGCTGGAGAGGACTAATCCCTCTTGGATCTCCGTGCCTCTCCTTGTGCCGGGGTCGGGTTTGAAGTGTTTCCTCACATCCACAAAGGCCGGAGCTCGCTCGTGCTCCAGAAGCAGCTAATCCTGAGGAGAGGCGGATAAAGCAGGATAGGCACGTGACTGCATCCCTGTCTCCTAAACATTCCCGGTCTCCCACTCCGAAGTGGGCACTGTGAAGGGTGCAGCGGGTTCCCAGCTTGTCCTAGATCTGCCGTGGAGACCCTTCCCCTGAATCCAGAACTCTCTCCACTGGCACAAGGACCTTCTCCCCAGACATGAGGAACCTCTGCCTGGTTCCAGAGCCCTCTCCCCCTGGAACAGGGACCCTCTTCCCTGGCTCACGCAGCACCGCACAAATCCCACGCTGGAGAGATGCGGCGCTAAGGAGGCAGGTAATCCTCTCATCAATAACGGCCTGGAAAAGTGGAATTATAGCCCGTCAAGTGGCATTGAATCCTGATGAAAGAGCCGCAGGGATGTTCCACCCCCTTCCCAGCCTCCGCAGCATCCCCTGCTCTGCCAGCACGTGGGACGGGATTGGGACCTCGATCCCTCCAAGGAGGGAGGTGGGGTCTGCGCCTCGTGGGCCCCCCTCACTGTGCCCTCGGGATGAGGCAGGACCAGCGAAGGGCCTCCGGGATTTGGGACATGGCCGCAGGGACCCCAGGGCCGCGGACCCTCAAGTCTCACCCCTCCGTCTCCACGCTCCCGCCTGGATCCGCGCTGGCAGCCGCGGAGATTTATGGAGAGCGGCAGGGAAGGAGGGCCAGCGGCGGCGTAAACAAGCGTCGCGTTTTCACCTTGTCACCCGCCCCCGGGGCTGTGTCTCGGTGTCACGCAGCTCCCCGCGTCCCCCCTGGATCCACCGGCCCCAGGGCATCCCGTGCCGCGCATCCCAACCCGCACAGGGACCCCCACACCGCGCCCCAGGGTTGGGGACGCGCCAGGAACTCCGAGCGGCTCCGAGTCTTTAATTAACCGAGTGCTAATTGCCTGGAAAACGAGTCATTTAAGTCATGCTGAGGGCGGCGCAGCCTGGGGGCCGGAATGGCTCCCCCCCGCCCTGGGGACATGGCGTGATCCCACCGGGAAGGGCAGGACCCACCCCGTGCACAGGGACACCCCCCTGGAGCTCCCCAGGCAGGATCCCGCTGGTGAATCCATCAGGATCATGGGGTGACACCAGGTTTGGGGGTGTGGTGGCACCTTGGCACGGGGAATCTGGCCCCGGGAACCGGCGCTCACTGATGTCCCTCTCCGGACACTGCCACGGCCGTGGTGCTCACCCCTTCCCTCGCCTTCTCCTTTGATTCCCTCTCTCCAGATTAATCTGAGGATGAACTTGACTCCGCAAGGACCGAAGGATCTGTTGGAGCTCCGGGCTAAGCCAGAGGGGTCACGGTGTTCCCAAACTGGCGCAGGGAGCACCGAGCGTGGGGACGAGGAGGGCTCATCCCAATTCCCAGCCCGCCCAGTAAGCCCCGGTGCCACTTGAACTGGTCGGGCTCCCAGGCGAGGAGGGGTGCCCGGCGCTCTCCGGTGCCGGCTGCTTCCCATTCCCCCGGCAGCTTATCCAGCCGGGGTTTATAAATGTTGGAAATTAAGGGCTGGTCCCAAATTCCCTCCTAGGCAACAGTTGCTATGTGAGTTTTATACACAGGCTCCTCGTGATCCGAGAGCTGCCTTTGGATGGAGAGAGCGCGGGTGCTGCAGGGGGGACCTGTCCCCAAAACCACCCCCACCACATCCCACCTTCATCTCCTCAAGGAATTTTTATAAATCACCCCTTCATGGTCACCATCCCCTTTCCTCGTCTGGTTCCAGCGGGGATGTGGGAGCCGTGGGTGCCTCGGCACGTGCCGGGGGAGATTCCAGAGCCCTGATCCCCCCCTCCCGGTCCACTCTGACTCACCCCGGCCTCGGAGCCGCCGGGAAATTTCGTTACAATAACAAGGTCTGCGGGCGAATTAATTATTAACATTTATTGTTTAATATTTATACTGCAGCACCGCTCCCGGCGCTGCTCCGGCCTCGCCGCCTCCCGCCGCCAGCTGGGGCTCCCACCACGGACAATCCCATCCCAGCGGGCACGGCGGGATGCGGAGCATCCGCAGGGATGCTGTGCCGGGGGTCCTGCCTGGAGACAAAGGTGAGCCGGTCTGGGGTCCCACTGGACCCCTCTGAGCCACCTTGGGTCCGTGTTCTCATCCCACAGTGGTCATTCTGCACGCTGGGAGCACGGACGCGAGCGGAAGTGCTGGATGAGGTTGATGAGTCTCCTTCCCACATTTTTGGTGTCCCCAAGGTCGCCCCCACGGCCAGGCTGGGGAGGAGCGGGTCTGCGCTGCCGTTTGGGATGAATCCGTGTGGGATTGGCTCACAAAGCAGCAGCCCTGGTCTTTGCCGGCCATGCCAGCGCTCCCAGGGTACCAGTGGGGATTAAAGCTCCAGCCTGAGCTCCCGGGAAGCGCTCGGGGCCGGATTCCCCCCAGGACACATTCACTGGGAGCCCAGAAGCCAAGGGAGTGGCCACCGTGACGGGACACTGCACAATGGGGCTGGAGCCTGCTGGACCACATTTCCTGTGTTTTCCCTCCCTGTACCCGGGCGCACGCCAGGAAAACCCCAGGATTTAGGTCTGACTCCTCCACTTTGTGCTGTGCTCCCCGCAGGGACCCCCTCCCGCGACGTCCTCCTGGTCTCAGCCATCATCACCGTCAGCCTTAGCGTCACCATCGTCCTCTGCGGGATCTGCCAGTGGTGCCAGCGGAAAATGGTGAGTGTCCGGCTTCCCTCCCGCCTTCCCGACATCCCGGCGTGCCCCCAGTGCCGCCGGCCAGGGGGCAATTCTCGCTTCCAGGGCAGCAGCCAAGCGGAGGCAGCTCCCCGGAGCTGCCGGCTGCAGCTTTTATTTGGGCTTTTCCGGACGTGCTAATGAAATGTTTGGGCGAAATTGTTTGTGTGGCACAAAGGGAAGTTTCCAAATATATGGATATATATTGGTGACGAGCCGGAACGAGCTGGCCCCTGTCCTGCTGGGCACGCTCCTGCCTGGAAAAGCCCCGTGGGAAGGCGGCCAGCCCGTCCCTGGCAGCGCCGGGCGCCGTGAGCCATCCCTGCCGCCCGCTGTGCATCCCTGCTTCCCTCCCCGATTCCCACCGGGGGCTTGGGACTGCGCTCCCTCCCGCCCCGCATCCTTCCTCCTCCTGCTGCTCCTCTCCCGGGAGCAGGACGTGCTCGGCCACGTTTCCTTCACCATCGGAATCGAATCTGGGTCAAGTGCTGCGATGGCAGAGGCGCTTCCCGACAGGGAGATGCCCACCCCGAGCCGTGGGAAGGCAGCATTCCCATGGGAATGGGAGAGGGGGTCCGCATGGCGATGAGGCAGCGGGAGGGCGGTGGGAGGGAAGGGCCCTTCCAGGTGCCACCCAGGGGATGGGGAGAGAGAGCTGGCAGAGTAAAAAGCACTGGAAAGGAGGAGGCTGGAGCTGGCAGAGGAACAAACAAGTGTAAATTGGCCGGGAAGGCGCATCCCAACCGGCCCTCGACAGCACCCGGAGCTGGAGCGGCTGTGTGGGAATGACGGCCAAGCCCAGCGGGCCAGCTCCGGGCCGTGCCCACGCGGCCACCGCTGCCGTGTCCTCAGGAGCCCTGAGCTGCCACAGCCGGGGACAAAGATGAGCGCAGGGTTGGGGGATGTTTCCCTCTGGGATGGCCTGTGAGCATCCAGCGAGGTCAGGCACCACCGTGCCTCCCGGTGGGATTAGCCCATGGGCATCCAAGAAGGTCCAGGTGTTCCCCTGCAGCTCCTGGCTGCATTAGCCCTTGGGCATCCGAGGATATCAACACCCCTGCAGTTCCTGGCAGGATTAGCCAATGTGAATCCAAGGAGGTCCAGGTGTGTTTCCTCGCAGCATCCAAAGAGATCCAACATCCCTGCGGCTTCTGGCAGAATTATCCCTTGGGCATCCCAGGAGGTCCAGGTGTTCCCCTGCAGCTCCTGGCAGGATTAGCCCATGGTTGCCCAAGTGCCAGCCCAAGCTGTGCTGGGATCCAGGTGTCCCAGCAAGCCAAGGAGATGGCTCCACGTGGATATGAAGAGGCTAGGAAGAAGGAGAAAGGAGAAACATTCCCATTCCATGGGCAGGCTGGATGCAGGCCTGGCTCCTGAGATCCAGGACCAGTGGGATGACAAGGGCTGGTTCTCCCCCCATCCTGCTCCGGCAGCTGCTCTATCCCACCTCATCCGCCTGGCACTGCATGGAGCATCCTCTCCCAATTGTTGGATAATTGGCATTAATTGGCTCCAGCCCACCCTAGGTCGGAGCAGCGCTCAGAACCTGCCGGAGTGCCCTGATTACCAGCCCCAGTTTGGAGCCAGCTCCAGCTTCATTATCCTATGGCAGCACTTCCCTGGTGCTGGGAAAGGTGAACTCAATTAATTCAGGCCCAATTAGGCCTAAAATTATCCACTCCTTCCCAGTGAGGCCATGGAATGGGATGCTGACGGTGGTGGCCATGCTTTCCTTGGGGGGATGCAGGGCACGAGTGCCCAAGGACCAAGGGATGAAGCCTCTGGGAATTTTGCTGCCTGGATGGATGGGATGGAGCCTGAAGACCATAAGGGAAAGGGCAAACCCCAGGTCAAATTCTATAAATGGCAGCACCTCCCAACTTCCCCTGGGATACTCCAGGGGTCCTCTGTCACCCCCTGACCCCTCTCCCCTCTCTTTCCCACAGGGAAAGCGTTACAAGACTTCCCTGGAGACTGTGGGAACTCCAGATTCCAGCCGAGGCCGTAGCGAAAAGAAAACCATCAAGTAGGTGCCAGGATGGGGGGGGGAGAGGAAGGACAGAGGTGGCCATCCCTTCTCCCAGTGGGAGAGGGGCTCCGGGAGACTGGGAGAGCTGGTGGGTGTCTCCAGCATCCTTGTGTATCCCACTGAGCCGTGGGCATGATGGAACCACGGGAACATCAGCCTGGGTGTCCCTAGGGATGCTCCAGGCCTGGGCATGTGGATCCCAAGCCCTGCCCAGCAGGGCTGGAGTGGCTCTGCATCCCACGGGCATTCCATGGAGGAAGGAGAGCAGAGCTGGGGCATCCCATGGCACAGGGAGTGAAGTGGAGGCAGGAAGCCGAGGGGATTCTCCTGGGCATCCCAGATCCAACACCGCCTCTCCACACCCTCTGCAGGCCTCCAGGGAGGAGGGAGCTGGAACGCCAGGAGGGAAAAAGTTCCTGCCTGGAATATAAGCCTATGGAAAACTTCCTCCCATGGCTGGCCTGGGTGTTATCGGGATGCAGGGGCACCTGGCCAGCCTGCTCCTATCCAACCAGGATGAGCTGGGAATGGAGGGGAAGGTGCATCACACCCCATGTCATGGCACAGGCAGCTCTCCCAAACTCCAGCACATTCCATACAGCTGGGATCCACCCGGAGCTGCAGGTGGGCACTGGGGGCTTTTCCAGTCTCTCAGCACCAGCGGGGAGCTGCTGAGCCCCCCAGCCCTTGGCACGCAGCTCCGGTGGCTTCCCGGAGCCAGGAGGTGCAGGTTCTGTGCTGGCAGCAGGCCGGTTCCGCGGGAAGGGATCCGCAAGGGAAGGGATCCATAAGGGTCTCCAACACGCAGCAGTGTCGTGGGTAACCAAGCACTTCCAGGGCTCAGCTGCTGAGCAGGCGAGGACACACGGACACGCGTGCCGAGGGCGCACGGACACACATTTGGGAATGCCGTGCAGGCACCGCACTCGCCAACACCCCCCTCACCCCTCACATCCTTCTCTCCTTCCCAGCCGGTGGAGCCGCCCGCTCCTCTCTCTCCACAGCTCTTCCCATCCTTCCATCCTTCTGTCCGTGTCCGTGTGTGTGTGTGTGTGTGTGTCGGTGTCTGAGGGCTGGGCTCCCCGTCTCTCTCCGCAGGATCCTGGCACTCCGGGGGCGGAGGGCTGCTTTTCCTTCTCTCTCGCAGGAATTCAGCTTCTCTCTCTTGTATTTCCCTTTTCTTTCTCCCCCGGAATCCGGCCGCTGTAGCGATCTAGACAGAGACTTTTGGAATAACAATGACAACACAGTGCAGCAGAAATGGAGCTCCTACCCTCCCAAGGAGTTTATCCTAAACATTTCTCCTTACGCTCCGTACGGTGATCCGCGCCTTTCCCTCAAGTGAGTTTCTCCTTACCGCGTATGCTCCGTGTAGTGAGTATATGGGCAGCACCCACTCGCCTTCCTCCTCCTCTTCCTCCTCCTTTCCCTCCTCCTTCTCCTCCCCCTCCTGCTCCCGAGCTCCCCGCACGCCACCCCATGGGCCGTCCCATGGAGACGAGCAACCCCTCCTTCCCGCATTCCCGGGGCCGGCCGGGATCTCCCTCCAGGACGGGGTTGCGCGTTGGGGGCACCCCCTCGGCACGGGGACAGGTCCCCCCGGGGCTGGGCTGCCGGCGAGCGGGACCC